AAATTGAATTTAAAAACAAGCTTTAAATTATTATTTTCGGGGTGTTGGTTGGAGGGTAGGGACAAAATAAATTGATTTTTTCAACAAAAAAGTAATTGTAGTTTGAAGTTGGAAGAGAGTTTTGAAAAATGTTTTCCTTAAGTTTTGAAGGGAAGTCATTTTCCTTAAATTTGAGGAAAATGAGTTGATTTGGAAAACATTTTCCAAAACATTTAACCCAACCAAACATGAGAAAATTGAAAAATATTTTCCGAAAAATGTTTTCCTTCATACTAAACCCTAAGTTATGTTCCAAGTCATAATTTTAGTGGCACAAGTTATGTTCATGGCATAAGTAAAGTGACACAAGTTATGTCATAGGGCATAAGTTTAGTGGCACAAGTTATTATGCTCCAAGAAAAAAGTACTCTTATACTCTTGCTTGTGAATCAGATATTACAAAACTTATAATTTTAATGTGATACAATTCTTTCAATTTTAATTGAGAAAGAATAACGAAATTCATCTGAATGGTTCAATAAAGAATAAGAGAAGAGCAAAGCGTCAATGACGTGTAAAATGGATGCCCCAAAGTAAACATTTTCTAAAAAAATTAACTGAATTTAGATCATTAAACCATAAATTTTCATTAAATAAGCACTAGAAATAAAAATTCTGAATTCATAAAGGTAAAAATTTAAAAATCATCAAAACTTGATTCCAATCACGATCTACTATATTTATACCGATCATAGTCCTCTATATTTTATCTATCGATACGGTGATGCCTCGTTATGATCCTAAATTTCATGGCATTATTTTCTCAAAAAGCAGCCCATCTTATTTTGATTATAGGAGCTAAGAACATCTTCTTTACCACCAAAAATGGTAACATAAGACCCTTCTTCACTCATGCTTGTCATCTGCTCGTGAATACCGTCCAGTCAAGCACTATTATGTTTGATGATCAAATAGGAGAAAATGAAAAATAACCACTTATTTTTATGTAGTATGTTTAAAATAGTCTTTTAATTATTAATTGAGCTATTTTTTTTCTTTAAATTTTTGCCTAATTTTAATTGATAGATTTAATTGGAACTAAAGGAAAAAGATTAACTAGGGACTCTAGAAATTTCTGTCAAAATTTCAAAATTCGCAATATTATAAAAATACACCAAACACTAAATAGACAAATCAATAACAAAAATTGAGCCTCAAAAAGTTTTATCAGACTCTTAAATAGAATAAAAATATAATATAAACTCTAAAATTTGTACATTCAAATGTGAGTCCCTGTTATATACGTTATATTTTCACAATTTCAATTGAATGTAACTATTAGAATATGATAAATACCTTATAAAGATTAAAAGTGCTTACCTTTAGTAAATTTAAAAGACCAAAAATGCTCAAATTCTAATACTTAAAAGAGACTATTTTGAGTCTACCATCATAGATAAGGGACCATTTTTGTCATTTTCTCTTCAAGATAGAGATAATTTTTAGATTTTGAATCAATGGACAGAAATATGATAGTACTAATTTCAATCTACAACCTGTACCATCATAGATAAGGGACCATTTTTGTCATTTTTCTCTTCAAGATAGAGATAATTTTTAGATTTTGAATCAATGGACAGAAATGTCATAGTACTAATTTCAATTTACAACCATATGTATTAGAAGAAAGTGATTTTTTGCAATTGCAAACATTTAACCTTCACCCCAATAACAAATAATTAAGATTTCTTGATGGTCACTTATAAAATGAATAGAAAAAATAGCATTTTTTAGTAAGAGTAATATAATTTATTTATTTTTTAAAATAGTAGCTGATTTAAAAAACCAAATATCTTAGCATTGTGTATAGAGACTGCAAATACATAAAACAAACAATTTTTGGTTGATGGTGGATATATATGTTTTTATATTTCAATTTTGAATTTCAAAGTTAATATGTGTATTAGTGGATATGTAGTTGGTTAATGATTAATATTTACGTGTATCAACATTTCAGTTTTTAAGTTAATATGTATATATGTGTGCAATATTGGGAGGGGAATGGAGAGAGACCAGCGAGATTTGAAAGAGTAAGGATAGAGATGCACGAATACAAGTTGTATCAATATGGAGGTTGTATCTGAGATACATGATACAATATGTATTATCTAGTATCTCTACTCTCTCTCGCTTGTATCTCTCCCCTCTCTTGCTGTCACGATCCAAAAATGAATGTGATGACACTCGTCTTATCCCACCAAGACAAGTCAGCCTAAAACTCAAATATCACAAAAATGCGGAAGTAAGACAAATTGATATCTCAAAATATCACAAGTGAGGATAACTAAGTAAACTTAATAAAACCCCAAAACCTGGTTGTCACGTGTACAAGTCTCTAAAGTATTACAATTAATTCAAAAGAAAAATACAAGTCTCAGATGACATTGTTTCTAGAATAGAAAAAGATCATAAATAAGAGTAAAAAGGTCCGTTGAAATGACAAGCAGCTACCTCACAAACTTCCACAAGAAGCCTCGAACAAGGAAAGAAGAGAAAGTATCACAAGGTCCGGGCTAGTAACCTACAAAAATGTAGAAGCAAGGGGTGCGTACCAAACCACACGGTATTGAGCAAGTAAACTTCTAAGCACAAGCTAAGGAGTAGAATGCGGGTACTCCTTACTCCCCAACCGAACCTCCACAACTACAACCTGCATAAAATC